TTTAATATTTTTTTTCTTTGAATATGGCGGTTCCTCAAAAAATTAGAAATAGGAATACCGTACAATCCAGTAATTCCACTTCAGAGTATTTACCAAACCCCCCCAAAACCCTAATTCAAAAAGATATATTCATCTTATGTTTATTGTAGCATTATTTACAATAGTCAAGAAGATATGGAAGCAACTTAATGTCTATTGATACATGAATGGATAAAGAAGATAAGGGGGGTGTGTGTGTGTGTTGGAATATTACTCAACCATAAAAAAAAAATTTGCCATTTGTGACAATACGGGTGGACCTTTATGGGTATTGCACTAAATGAAATAAGTCAGAGGAAGACAAATACATGATTTCGCTTATATGTGGAAAGTAAAAAAACAAAAAAAGCCCAGAAACAGACTCAAAAATACAGAAGAAACTGGTGGTTGCCAGAGGAGAGAGGGGTGGGGGGATGGGTGAAATAGGTAAAGGGGGTTAAGAGGTACAAAACTTCCAGCTATAAATAAATCACAGGGATGAAAGTACAGTATAGGGAATACAGTCAATAATTTAATAACTGTCTATGCTGACACATGGTAGCTGTACTTACTGTGGTGAGCATTTCATAATCTATATAATTTTCAAATCACTATGTTTACACCTGAAACTAATATAAGATTGTATGTCAATTATACTTCAATTAAAAATAAAAAAAATTTAAAATATTTTTTCTTTGTTTTTAGTTTTTAGACATTATTTATTTATTTTTTTAAAGATTTTTATTTATTTAACAGATAGAGCACAAGTAGGCAGAGAGGCTGACAGAGGGAGAGGGAGAAGCAGGCTCTCTGCCAAGCAGGGAGCCCGATGCGGGGCTTGATCCCAGGACCCTGGGATCATGACCCGAGCCGAAGGCAGCCGCTTAACCGACTGAGCCACCCAGGCACCCCAGTTTTTAGGCATTTAATTATGATGGTTCTTAATGTAGATTTCTTTTTTGTTTCAAGTTTTTATATAAATTCTAGTTAACATATAGTATAATGTTGGTTTCAGGAGTAGAATTTAGTGATTGATCACTTTCATGTAATACCCAGTGCTCATCATAACAAGTGCCCTTCTTAATCCCCATCACCCATTTAGCCCTTCCCCCAACCACCTCCTCTCTAGCAACCCTGTTTGTTCTCTATAGTTGAGTCTCTTATGGTTTGCCTCCCTCTCTTCTTTTTTCTTCCTTCCTCTATTTTCATCTGTTTTGTTTCTTGAATTCCACATGAGTGAAATCATATGGTATTTGTCTTTCTCTGATTTATTTCGCTTAGCGTAGTACACTCTAGCTCCATCCACATCATTGCAAATGGCCAGATTGTTCATTGTTTTTGATGGCTGAGTAATATTCCGTTGTGTGAGTGTGCATATATATATGTGTGTATTATATATATATATACACACACACACACCACATCTTACTCCATTCATCAGTTGATGGATGTTTGGGCTCTGTCCATAATTTAGCTATTTGATAATGCTGCTATAAACATTGGGGTGCATGTGTTCTTTCAAATCAGTATTTTTGTATCCTTTGGGTAAATACCTAGTAATGTAATTGCTAGGTCGTGTTAGGTTAACCCCCGTGATGAGGGGTGAAGAAGAGAGAGAGGGAGACGACAGCTCTATGGCAAACTCAGATGTTATTGTGGCAACAGAAACCTGCAGAGGGCATCAACAGCTAAGGCTGGAGCCCGTATTGCTTAAAAGGGGGTAGTTTTTTTTTTAAAGATTTTATTTATTTGACAGAGAGAGACACAGTGAGAGAGGGAACACAAGCAGGGGGAGTGGGAGAGGGAGGAGCAGGCTTCCCACTGAGCAGGGAGCCCGATGCGGGGCTCGATCCCAGGACCCTGGGATCATGACCTGAGCCGAAGGCAGATGCTTAACGACTGAGCCACCCAGGCGCCCCTCCGTTGAGGAGGTGGGTACTGCTGTCTTGGGGTGGGAAAAATTTTTGCAGCTAGCCATTGCTAGAGTTGCTAAGGAGGACTGCTTTGCAGTTAAATTGTTTTTGTCAAACAGGATGTACTCTGGGACCCGGGTTTTGGTGGTAATTTTCCAGTCCAGTTGTCTGAGTTGGCGGCTGGTAGAAAATGGCATGCCTTTGGCTAACCTTTCAGTCCGTTTTCCTTAAAAAAAGAAATGGGATTGGGTTGTTGAGGGCAATGTGAGTCATCTGGCTGCTTCCTGCTTAGTGGGGGCGTTGAGGTTATGGTGTTTTTCTGGCTTAGAAGATATCTCATTCGGCACGGGAGGAAGACGCTGACCATGTGTTTTTGGATAGCTATCTGTTAAAAGGAATTTAGTTCTTGGGAGATAAGCTAGATAGGACGTTAAGTATGCAACAAAGCCCCAACAACAGAATTATGCAGAAAAAGGCAAGAGGGGCCGTAGCCAGCATAACTGTTGGTCGCATAATAAGTCCCACCATCCGTGAACCCCTTCCATTGAGAAGAGGTTATTTGAGTTACTTAGGTGAGTGATGACCTGTCCAGTCTCACTGATATAAAAGCAGCACTTCTCCTTTAGGAAAGTGTATGTTCTGGCGCACCTGGGTGGCTCAGTTGGTTAAGTGACTGCCTTCGGCTTAGGTCATGATCCCAGGGTCCTGGGATTGAGCCCTGTGTTGGGCTCCCTGCTCCACGGGGAGCCTGCTTCTCTCTCTCCCTCTGCCTGCCACTCCCCCTGCTTATGATCTCTCTCTGTCAAATAAATAAATGAAATCTTTTAATTAAAAAAAAAAAAAAAGGAAAGTGTATGTACCCTCAGCATGGGTAGTTAGGAGATTTGGTGTTAGGCAGTTTTGGAGGGTCAATCCGTGTAAAGGAGAAAAGATCCTGGCAGGTGGGGTCTAGGGGAATTGTAAAAAAATGCATCTTTTAGGTTGAGCACTGAGAATGTTGCCCCCGTGTCCAATAAGAAAGAGATGGGCTTACCAGATACTGACAGCATTACCCTGAGTTCTGAGGCAGTGATGGTGGTGGGGGCAACAGACCCCGGGCCCTGTCCGTCTTTGGTGGCCAGAACCAGTAGGGTCACCAGGCCTAGATTTGGGTTGGGGGTTGGTTGGAGTTGGAAGTGGCTGGATGGGAAACAGTCTCGCAGAATACAATCCAACTTCCAGTGCCCCTTTTTGCCACAGATAGGGCAAGGCTTTGGTAGTGGTTTGGGGTTGGGGCAAGCTCTTGCCTGGTGGCCCTCCTGGCTGTATTTAAAGCGTGGTCCTGGGGGGGTTATGTGTGGGGCATTAGGTTTTTGAGGACCCTGGGAGACTTGCCTGATGGCAGCTACCAGTGTCTGATATTTTGCCTGATCTCTTTTGAGATTTTTGGGTTTTTTGCTCCTCCTCTCTATTATCAAACACCGTAAAGGCCACCTTAATTAAATCCCATTGTGGGGTTTGTGGGCCATCTTCCAATTTTGGGGGTTTTTACAGATATTTGGGGCCAACTGTGAAATGAAGTGTAAGTGAAGATAGATCCTTTCCTTGTCTGTGATGGCAGTGAGAGTAGTATGTCTCGTTATAGCTTTTGAAAGCCAGGAGTAGAAGGGGGGGGGCAGGGTTTCATCAGGGCCCTGGGTGACTTTTTATCTTTTTATAATTGATGGCCTTGAGGGCAGTGTTATCCATACCAGCCAGGAGGTAGATAATCATGTGGCCCCTCCTCTGTTTATCGGGTGTATTGGGCAGGTAGTCCCATTTGTGATCAATTTTGGGGACAGTGACGGTGCCAATGGGGTTGTGGGTGGCATCCTGTTGCTAGAGGGTGTCTGCATGATTTTGAGCTGCTGCCCAGATATGTTCCCTGTCCTTGGGGAAGAGCGTGGACAAGAGGGTGACATAGATGTAGTAGGTAAGATTATAGAACTGGTTGATGTATAGGAATTCTTTTCAGAAGGTGGTAGGGTTGGTGATGAAGGAGCCTAAGCACTTTTTAATTTGGGAAAGGTCAGCGAGGGAGAATGGCACATGAATGCGGACAATGCCTTTGGCCCCTTCCACCTCCCTGAGGAGGGGAGTATGTTGGCAGGGGCATGAGATTTTTTTTTGAGGGGGGTGGGGGAGGAGGCACCGAGGGATGGGCTAGAGATGGGGGCAGAGAAGTGGGAGGTGGTAATGGGAGCTAGGCGTCTGCCTGAAATTGCAGGCAGAAGGTTCTTTTGGGAGGGAAGAGGAGGAGGAGTGGGGTGTTCTTTTGAGGAGAAGGACTTGGCAGGGCAATAGGGTTGACAGAGAGAGGGTTTAGATTAGAGGTGGACAAAGGCCTGGATATAAGGGACCTCAGTCAGACCATTTTCTGTTGTGTTGGAGGAAGCTTCTGAGGTCACGCTATATTTGGAAATTAGAAGTACCATTTTTTGGCCAGCGATTATCATTATTTAGTTCGTACTGAGGCCAGGCCACATTGCAATCGAAAATGAGATGTTTTTGGCTTAATGCTGGAGGTCAGGCCCAAGGATATTATGGATAAGACATCCAAGAGGAATGTCGCGAGGGGGCTTTAAGGGGGTCTGACCCATGATGGAGGCTGAGAGAATGAGGATTCCAGTCCCCAAAGAAATGAAAAATATTAGATGAGAGGGGCATCCCCACAGACTTCTATTTTTTGAAGGAAGGAGCAAGGAGGGCTCAGAGGGCGTCCCCTGAGGGCACACCGGTGTCGGAGCCTGGATGCCTGGCAGACAGAAAATATGAGAGGGTTCTGGGGATGGAGAAAGAAACTTGAGGCCTTGGGGGCAAGGTGAGGGGTTAGGGGAAGAGGGCCCACTAGGGCCCCCCCTCTGTCATTGCAGGGTGGCTGATGTCCCTTCTTACCTGGCAACCTGACTCCTCAGGACCATGAACTGTTTCTTCCCATTGGCTGAATCACTCATTCTTTCAACAAATATGTATCATCTATCTCGAATGTGGGAAACACTTGATCTTGGAGGCCACAAATCAGAGATCCTCTTTTCTTGTCTTTCTCTCCAGATGACAGTCTCCTGTATGGATACCAGGACCGTGGGGACCTCTCCGTGCCCTTCTTGAGATCAAGGGCTCAAACTGGTTTTGAATCCCACCATGACACTGTAAACGACTGTAGAGAGTTGGCCCTTCTTTGACCTGCTCAGTTATTCATTTAGCCCTTTTCTGTGCTCCTGTAGCCTCAAAGGATGGGGCCCCCCGCTCCAGCACTGTTCAAGCCCTGAAGCCTGCTCCTCCTCAGCTCTGGATATTGACATTTGCACAGCTTCACCCACCAGATCACCCACCAGATCATCGCCCTTGCTGCTCTTTGCCTCCGATTCCTGTCCCCTCCATTTCTCTCTCTGTACCTCCATCCCTCCCTCCCTTCTCCTGTCACTGGCTGCCATATAGCAAGCTCTCCGCCCTTCCTCTTTTCCTTCCTTCAGTGCATATTTTCTGCCTGCTTGACCCTGTAATTAGATGCTGATTTTAGAACAGTGAATAAAACAGACCCTCAATGTGCCTTTGTGTAGAGGCTTCTTTTCTGCCAGACTGACCAGAGTCACAATGGCTCCAATATCTTTCCTCCCTCTTACTCATAGAACTTAGGGCTGGAAGGGACTCCTTCACCAGGCTTTCAGTTACACACACACACACACACACACACACACACACACACACACACACTCTTCCTCAGTTTTTCCCTCTTTCTACTGTGTAGCTCTTTTCTTATAAATCCTGTATCTTTTTAGGTTGGTGTTGTTTTGGAATTTTTGTTTTTATGTTTAAATTATATAAGTAAAATATTCAATTTAGAAAAAAGTATAAAATAGTGGCCAAAGTAGATCTCACTAGCAATCCCCTCCTATCATGCAGAGACATACCTTGTTTTAGGGCTTATGGTATACACCTTTAATTTAACACAATTTACTGAAAGTGCCTTTTTCTCCTGATGTCTTGAAGATTTGCTCTTTGTCTTTGGTTTTAAGCAGTTTGATGATTGTGGTGGTGTTTTCAGTACTCATCTGTGTGAGATTCTTTTAGCTTCTTTGGATCTGTGTAATATAGTGATTCAACAGTTCTATACAGTACTCAGTGCTCATCATAATCCCTTTCACCTAGTTCACCCATCCCCCTATCCACCTCCCCTCTGGTAACCATCAAATGTGAGTGAGATCATACGGTATTTGTCTTCCTCTGACTGACTTATTTTGCTTATTATACTCTCTAGGTCCGTCCATCTTGTTAGAACTGGCAAGATTTCATTCTTTTATGGCTTAGTAATATTCCTGTGTGTGTGTGTGTGTTTGTGTCTCACATCCTGTTTATCCATTCATCTATCAGTGGCCACTTGGGGTGCTTCCATAATTTGGCTACTATAAAAAATGCTGCAGTAAACATAGGAGTGCATGCATCCTTTTGAATTAGTGTTTTCATATTCTTTGGGTAAAAACCCAGTGTGGTTACTGGATCATAGGGTGGTTCTATTTTAAAATTTTTGAGGATCCTCCATACTCCACAGTTGCTGCCCCAGTTTGCATTCCCACCAACAGTGCATGAGCCTTCCCTTTGTTATCGAGAGTGAGATGGAAACAGAAAGAAGCCTCGGTTCTTTTCACTGCCACAGTAAAGAATTACAGGACAGCGAAAAAAAAGTAAAGCAGAGCAAAATTTTATTAAAGTGTACTCCAAGGGAGGAACCAGCCAGTCAAGAGAGAAAATGGAAAACACTCCCCCACAGCCACACTTTCTACCTTTATTTGAGTCAATCAAATACTTTTTAGTATTCCATTTTAATTTTTCCATTGGCTTTTTAGCTATGCCTTTGTGTATTTTTTAAAATGATTTTTCTCCAAGGATTACTATATCTCTTCACAATTAAATTAAATTAATATTGTACTACATCACTTAAAAATAAGAAACTTTTGGGCACCTGGGTGGCTCAGTTGGTTAAGCGACTGCCTTTGGCTCAGGTCATGATCCTGGGGTCCTGGGATCGAGCCCTGCATCAGGCTCCCCGTGCTTTGCGGGGAGCCTGCTTCTCCCTCTGCCTCTGCCTCTGCCTGCCACTCCCCCTGCTTGTGCTCTATCTCTGTCAAATAAATAAATAAAATCTTTAAAAAAAATAAGAAACTTTTTTTTTTAAGTTGGCTCCATGCCCAGCATGGAGCCCAACATGGGGCTTGAACTCACAACCCTGAGATCATGGACCTGAGCTGAAATCAAGAGTTGGATGTTTAACCGACTGAGCCACCCAGGCGCCCCCAAAATAAGAAACTTTTGAAAGTATAGTTCCAGTTACCTCCTCTTTCCTTTGTGCTATTATTGTTATATATATCTTTTTACATTAAAAATAATTTTAGCTTTAAGCAGGCATGGCTTTTAAAATTAGAAGAAATAGTATACATGTCTTAAATTTACCACATTATATCTGTTCTCCACATTTCTTCCTGTAGATCAGAGTTGCCTTGGCATCATTTTCCTTTAGCTTCCTTGAGGACGAAGAAATTACCTTAGCGCCTTTTTTTTTTTTTCTCCCTGTAGTACAAGTCTGTTGGTTGTGAATTCTCTTCCTGTTTGGGTATATGAAAATATCTTTGTTACCTTCATTTTTGAAGGATAATTGTCTTGTTGTAACATTTTGACTGACAGTTTTTTTTTTTTTTTAAAGATTTTATTTATTTGAGAGAGAGACAATGAGAAAGAGAGAACCCATGAGAGGGGATAGGGTCAGAGGG